TAAAAACATCTTAAAACTTCTGAAATTGAGATATTTTCAAAAATACGAGAAAAAAGTTAGCTGCCTCTCCACCACCCAGAATAGTATAATTAAATTAATATTGTCTCTCGCTTTTTAAATATGGCATATTAGAATAGAGGAAATGTGCTATAAGGTTCAGAATAGTAACAAACCCAATTTTTACACATTTTCTTTAACTGTAAATTTATGTAGTAATCAAATATCATAATACTTCTTTACAATTAGAGGGTTTTTTACCTTTGTCCCCTCATAAAAACTGTGTGTATTGTGTATTAATACCTTGTTGAGAACCTGGCTCATAACAGGCACAATAATTGGCTCTTTTAGAGATTTAAAACTTTTTATAGTGCAATAACAACCTTCTCTTTATTTTACTTTCATTGCTGTTTCTACTCAAGAAGGAGAATATTGATTTCTAGTCCAGACTTAATATTTGGTGCATCTTGGTCTAATTGAACAAGTATTTTATACACCCCCCCCACACACACACACGAGTTATGTGTCACTTAACAATGGTGGTATGTTCTGGAAAATGCGTTGTTAGGCAATTTCATACTTCTGCAAACATCATAGAGTGTACTTACACAAACCTAGATGGAGTAGCCTACTACACACCTAGGCTCTATGGTATAGCCTGTGACTCCTGGGCTACAAACATGTGTGGCATGTTACTGTACTGAATAGTGGAGGCAGTTGTGACACAGTGGTGTTTGTGTATTTAAACGTATCTAAACATAGAGGAAGTACAGTTAAATGTAGCATAAAAGATAAAAAGTAGTTCACTCGTATAGGCACTTAGCATGAATGGAACTTATAGGACTGGAAGTTGCTCTGGATGAGTCAGTGAGTGAGTGCTGAGTGAATGTGAAGGCCTAGGACGTTACTGTGCACTACTGCAGACTTTATAAACACTGTACACTCAGCCTGCACTAAACTAATTTAAAAAATTGTGCTACAATGTTACAATGGCTACAACGTCACTAGGTGATAGGAATTATTTCAGCTCCATTATAATCTTATGGGACCACCATTGTGTATGTGGTCCATCATTGACTGGAACATTGTTATGCGGTGTATATGAAAGAAAAGTCATATTCTGAACAGATGTTTGTCCTTCATGCCTATCTCAGATTCCCAGTATAACAGTATACCGACCTAAACTACTTGGAACACGAGACTTAAAACTTTATTTGTATATAGAACCACTGTCTATACTCGGCAGGCACTTAGGTTATTTATTAGGTACTTTTAATCTGTTATAGGGAAAACGTTTTGTTTGTGTGTTTTGCTTTGATTAGAAGTGAATAATTTTGTAAGGTATAAACTTCTGAAAGAGAGAAACCATTTGACCTGTAATAGTCCTTCTCAGCTTGTTTATTTTATTTCTTAGATATGTTTTTGAAAAATTGGATATAAACCTGTATTTTGAAATATTTTATCATTGACTTCCAGTATAATTTTAGAGATGTAATCACAAAGGAAAAAAATTGGCTCTGACATGTAATAAAAACCACACTTTTTCTCATAAAGTAGTGGTATTTGTTTTCTCTTTCCATTTGAATTCTGTTGACTTAACAATGTTTCTAGAAATGTGGCAAAATTTAGTCAGATGCACAAAACAATTTGCTTTTTAAGTGGACCTAAATGGAAATTTTAATGTTTATTTAATTACATGCAGCTTCCCTTGCTTTATACAGTGGGATTTCTGTTACTCACAGAAAGAAAGATGTCTCTAAGAGTAGAGAGCTAAACAGGTTGGATGGGACTGTATGCATATTTATTTGAGATAGTTGGAGTAGAAACTTATGCCACCATACGTACTTGTCAAAATATACCAAATTAATTCTCATTTAAGTCATCATATTGACCAAAGTGACAATAGCCAATGTTGATCAGGATGTGCCAGATATTCCATATCCTCTTGGTGACAGTGTAACTCAGTACATTTGAAAGGGGGAATTTGGCAATATTTTTGGTAATTTATCCTATGTATGTATGTATATACATACATGCACAGATACAAGGATATTCTCTCTATAATGGCAAAAGTCTACAAATAAAATTCTAATTAAATAAATTGATACAATGCTCTCATACATGGGAATATTATGTACAGTTATACATAGGAGTACTATGTAGCCATTAAAGAACGTGATATGTCAAAATACACTGATAATTGTAATAAATGAGGAAATAAGGTGGTAGAACGGGATGGTATAGTTCCAGTTGTTTAGGAAAATACAATAACTTCTATATGCATGTGTACATACAGAGCTTATATGTGTATAGACAATTTTGAAAGGATATTTCCTTACTTAAACTCAGTTTTCTGACCTGTAAAATGGGAATAATAATACCTTTCTTACAGGGTCATTGTGAGAAATAAATGCGTTGTTATTATGAGTAAAGAAGTTAGAATAGTGCCTGCATATAATAAGTGCTATAAATGTATTTGTTATTGCTTTTGTTATCATTGTTATGATTTGACTGGGAAGAATAACCTAAATACTTAAAAAATAATGATTGAAATTTTAACTGGCCTTAAATGTACATTTTTATTTTATACATGATACTTTACATAGAACATATTTCTATCAATAATTTGAAAACTAATGTAAGTATATGTATGCATTGAATTACTCTTATAAGCTTGGTTATTTATAGCAATATTAGAGAAATTTGCCATCAGACATCTTTGTTCTTTTTCTACACAATGTCTCTTTTTTCTCTGCCTGCTTTTCAGATTTTCTCTTTCCTACTGGTTTTAAACAATTTGACTATGATATACCTTGGATTTTTGGTTTTTTGCAAAGTTTCGTGTGCTTGAGTCAATTGATCTTGGATCTGTGTGTTTATAGTTTCTATCAAATTGAGAAAAATTTTGGCCGTGATTTCTTCTGATACATTTGTTTTTCTCTGTAACCTCTACCCCTCATCTCTCCTCTCCTTTGGGGATTCAAATTACACAGATTTTGCTTTTTAAAGTTGTCCCATCATTCAGTGATCCTCTGTTTCTTTATCTAATTTTTAGGGTTCTTTTTTTTTTTTTTTTTTTTTTTTTTCCCCTCTCTTTGTTTCAATTTGTATAGTTTCTATTGCTGGTCTTCATCACTAATCTTTTCTTGTGCAAAGTCTAATCTGCTATTAATCTCATCCAGTATATTTTTCATCACAGACATTGATTTCATCAGTAGGACCCAGATCTTTTTTGGGGGCCTTTTTTATATCTTCCATGCCTCCACTGAACATGGTCAACTGTTCTTCTGGGTTCTTGAATATAAGAAATTCCATCATAATAACAATTTTAATGCTTTTGTCTACTAATTTTATTGTATGTAACTTCTGAATCAGTTTCAATTGATTGTTTATTTTTCCTCATTATGAGTTGTATTTTCCTGCTTCTTTTTGACTTGGATGCCATACTTTGTGAATTTTATTTTCTTAGGTTCTGGATATTTTTATGTTCCTAAAAATATTTTCAGGTTTGTTCTGGCATGTGGTTAAGTTACTTGGAAACAGTTTGATCTCTTTGGGTCTTGCTTTTAACTTTTGTTAAACTGGACTAAAAACAGTTTTTACTTTACAGTTAATTTTGCCCCATTACTGAGTCAAGACCCTTCTGTGTATTCTAACTAATGCTTCATGAATTATATATGTTTTCTCCACTGGCTTTTGGGAACAGGCATGATTGCCAGTTGTATATGAGCTCTGAGCACTGTTCTCGCTAATCTTTTCCCTATCCTTGGGTATTTTCCCCAATCCCATGAGCTGGTCAGTACTCACCCTGAATACTCTTGCAGCTTGCAGGAGTTCCCCAGTGTGCATCTCACTCCTTTCCAGCACCCTGTCCTGAGAACTCTAACCAGGTTGGCATCCCTTATTCCCACTCCCCTTCCTTAACTCAGGGGACTGCAGGGCTCTGCCTGGCTGGGGTCTCCTTCCCTGAGCTGAGGCCTGGAAAGTTTCTCCAGGCAGTATGCCGAGGTCATTGTAGGGCTGGCCTTGTTTGTCTCACTGTCCTTCATTTCCTGGTGTCCACTGTCTTGAGAGTCATTTTTTCTCACATATTTCGTGCAGTTATTTATTTTGTCCAGTTGTTTCACATGGGAGGGTAAATCTGCTCCCTCTTACTCCATCTTGGCCAGAAGTGCCTTATGCTTTAACTTTTAAAAAAGATTTTTTTAAAAAAATAGGAGTGAAAACAGCCCTTGTCCACCTGCTGCTAGTCTGAAATTCCAGAGGCAGCCACACTCAAGCCTTGTATATACCCTTGTTCCTGGTATCCACCTCCAGGTTCTGTATCTCTTGCCACCTGCCTGCTCAGGGAGGCCTTCTGTGATCACTCTCAAAAGAGCACCCTCGTCCAGCTTGGTCTCCTCACGCTGCTGTGTTGTTTTCAGAGCATTGTTATTCACAGTATTTGTTCACTATATTTGTTCATTAGTATAGTCAGCCTCCCTCACTGGATAGGGTGTAAGCTCTATGAAGCCTAGGCTGTTTTGTTCACTACTGAATCTCAGAGCCTAGAACAACCCTTGGGCACATTGTAGGCCCTCAGTGAATATCTGTTGAATAAACAAATAAACGAATGTAGATACTGTGCTGAGTGCTTTCCAAACTCTGTCCTGTGATGCCACCACCTTATGAGATAGATAATAACTGCTAGAGCTTGCCAGGAAAGCAAAACAAGAAAAGGGTTTTCCAGGTATCAGGGACAAATAATGTCAGAAAATTGGGAAGACTTAAAAAAAAAAATGTCTGGTGTGGTATTCAGGAAAATAGGGTTTATTAAATTGACTCCATTTCTTGCTTCACTTTGTCATGGAAATCTTGATTAACCAACTTCCTTTCCAAGATGTTCTCCCAGAATTTAGAAGAAAAAAGTCTTGAAAGTATTAGGTATATTGTGTAATTTTCAGTGGCAACATAACAAAGTATTAGAATTGAAGTTTATCACAAACTTCCCTTTGTGTGCGTACATGCTCCATGCTCCTGCCTCCCGCTGTTGGATTTCGTGCTCACGAAAAGTAGCTGTGGAACTTGGTAACGGAACTGTCTGGTCAGTAGACGGGATGCGGTCCCAGGGGGCCTGTGTCAGGTGTCTTATTGCTGGCCTTCAAGAGAGGTCACTTTGAGGGGTGACCCAGTAGGTGAGCCTTACTGAGTCTTCACCCTTGTCCCTTTTCTGTAGATTCTGCAGCAAAGGTACCAATTAAGGTGGTGGTTTTTGTGATGAAGCCTCAAGTAACGAGACTTGGAACATAACTTCATTTATTTCATACAGCTCAGCAGATGGAAACCGTTTTCACTGCTACCACATTGTCCTGATTTAAATCTGGGACCTAACACTAAAAAGGGGGTTCTGTGTTCACCAACCCACAAGTTAAAGCCGTGCTTCCTGTGTTTGTGCTTCTTGGAGTGTTTTCCTGACTATTTCTGGCAGGATCTTTGAAGAAGAATTTTCTTTGGTGAATTAGTTAAACACCTTATTTTTTAGAAAAAAAAATCTATATATATCTGAGAGTTTGAAGCATATACATATGTTTTTGAAGAAAATATTTTTATTAATTCACCAAGGAAAAGTATATATTTAGGGGAATTTCTTTAAAAAATAAAAATTAATATAAAATATTTATTAAGTTGGTAAACATTTGCCACTTATTTAATAAAAGTAGGTTTCTTAAACTGAGTCATGCAACAGAAGATTTTTTTTCTGATTCAGAGAATCAGAAAAATGCAAATAGATTTTCTGTTTGATGATACAATTTCTGTATTTCTATAATAATCATATTTACATAGAAGGCAGAAAATCATAGAGCCATAGGGATCTATTTTCATAATGAAAATGTGTGACCTTGTAGCTCATATGCTAAATTTAAGTAGTTTGTATTTGGGGGCTCAAGGTAAACATGCTTTTAACACTCTTTAGTGTCATGTGACTTCAACTACAGCTTAGTTTTGTTTTTTTTCAGAAGGGCAATTGAAACAGAAAACTAAGATTACTAAGTAATTGTACAATATTCCTTCATCTTGGTGTTTACAAACTCTCACTTTGCAAAACGAGACCCAAATACAAACTCTTGGATTAACAGAGCACCTTCTCTTTAACATTGTATTTTCATAAGCATTTCACAGTATTTCTCATCCCTTGTTCCCAGTCTTGACCCACTGACCCAAGAATCAAAAAATGTCATGTTAGTGCCTACTAATTAGTGCACCCAGAGAGCCTTTTCATCTGGCCTTTCAACCTTCTGGAGGTAGAAGCATAAGCTGTCACTCACATCATGCAGGGAAAATGAGCCTTTACTGCATTTTCCCTGTTTTGCAAACAGCAGAATAAGCCCAGCTGAGACTAGAGATGAATATGCAGGTTAGGAAGAAATTAACCTAAAATGCACTACTGTTTCCATGATTGTCTTATAGATGACACAATGCTGCCTTCATTGAAATACCCATAACGGAGTGCTGCGTGTCTGAGATTTTTACCCAGGCATTGCTGCTGCTTCACACATTTATTTCAATACCATCATATTCATTTGGTGAAATCATTTGGGGCAAGAAATATCCTCTGATTAAAAAATTAAGTAGCATTGTAACACATTTAAGTTTCCCTTGTTTTTAGACATGTTTTTGGCGAATGCTGTAGTTTGTTAGTAGTGGGCTCATTAATCAGTGCTGTTGGGCCAGGGTCTCCTGAGCCTTCTGGGTTTTGGGAGATCAGCTACTGTAATCAAAGGGATGAAATATATCTTGGTCACAACTTACCACATCAGACAGTTGAGGGTTTTGAACTAGTAGAATTAATCTTTTTAATTTTTTCCTTAGGTGTTTAAGATAGAAGTGCTAATGAATGGAAGAAAACATTTTGTTGAAAAAAGGTACAGCGAATTTCATGCCTTGCACAAAAAGGTAACTTTGTTTTTTTTCCCCCTTTTCTCTATATAGCAGATGGTATAGCATTAAGTCTCCTTTCTATGGTTCTAAGAGCATTAATATTTCTTCTGTACATATAATTTCTTTTATCATGAAGTAAATTTCCTTTTAAAGTAGTAGGTGGGTTTTCTGTTAAGGTCATTTACATATAAAAATCTGAGGCTGCAAGCTATTTGCAGTACACTGCATTGAATGTTATAGGTTCAGAAAAAATTTAAGACTGAGATAATATTTTATCCATGAAATATACTTAATGTTTTTTACAAAAAGGGAAAAAAAAGCACAAATGATCAACTCAACTTATATTTACACGTACCTGGAAAAGATAATACACATGTATACATGTTTTCAAGGACTAGGGAACATGTGTAAATGGAGGTGCATAGCCTTCTTTTGAAATGTAAAGGTCCATTTTCTAAGACTGATATTTCAGCTCTAGGGGCCATTTCATTAAATGTTTTAGGTAAAGGAAGCAGAAATGCAAGAGGAATAGTTGAGTTTTGGGGAGAAATAGTCAATAAAGAATAGAATAGTGAATACATTTTTATTTTCTATTCACATTTAATTTTTCACAGGTTATAAATTATTATTGGGGTGCTGAAATTATCTTAATAACTAGAAATAGCTCATGAAAATGCCCAGCAAAATTACCATGTATGAGTCAGTGCAATTTTTCCTTTCATATATATGAAATATATATGTACATGTGTGTATACATGCACACACATACATGACATGTGTATATGAAATATATATACAATGTATGACATAATTCAGTTTCTTCACTTTGTTAGGTGAGAAGTTAGATGGTTAGATACTATGTTAAGTATGTTGCGAGAGTCTTTTCTTTTAATTTCGTTAGAGACCTCTTAAATTTTCTGAGCAATGCCAGAGTGTAAATGATGTGATAGTATGTCAACTCCATATTAAAAGTTCCTTAACTTTTTTTTTTTAATTAAGTTTTCCCCCATTTTTTAGTTAGGAGAATAGAGTATGAACTTTAATGGAATATTACTGAGAGATTAGTGAGACTGTTTCCCTGTGTTTTCTTCTAAAGTGGAGCTCTAAGTTATCTGTGCACTTCTCTGTCAGGATGGCAAGGGATAACTCACATTTAATTTCCCATCAGAATTTTGTTAAATCCAGGCTGACTTCTGAAAGAAACAATACAGGTGAGTGCAGATTCAGACCAGGTGTTGCCAGCAGAATCTCAGTCTCACTTCCTTCTCATGGAATTCTGTTTTTGTTTGCTTGGCTTTGGAGGAAACAGGTTCTCGAGAGGTTTTTGCTGGGTATGTGATGAAGTAAGTTCCTGTGGTGGTGAATTAAAACCAGAACTCCCCTCCTTCCCCCTGAGCCTCTGCTGACCGACTAGTCTGGACTAGGCAGCCTGTCATATGCAGGCCCCTTCCTAACCTCTCAGGTCAGCACCCAGCACTCCCTGACCCTGACACAGCCCAGCTGTCCTCTCCAGATACTCGGGGACCAAGTCCACGTGAGACATAGCTGGGTGACTGCCAATTAGGCCCACCCTGAGCAAGAGGTTGTTCGTGCTTCTTGAGTGGAGGTTTGTTCGCCGTGTTTTCTCTCACACGATTTATTTTCTTCTGCAGAAAAGGACCCTCTCCCCAGTGATATAGGCAGTTCTTAGATATTCACAGTTGGAAAAAAAATCCTAGGTTTTCTAGGAGTTGCTCTTCTCTCAATTTCAGCAGTTCTATTAATAATTTTAGCCAGTTTTATAATTATATAATGAAGTCTACCAGAGATAATAGAGTAGAAATTCTCAAATCTCTCAAATTTTGCATATTTTTAGTAGCCTTGTTAAACTGTTATTTGAGACCTCCTTACAGGGACACAGAGATGAAAATAGCTTTGTGAGGCAGAGTTTTAGTTGGGATACACTATCTAATCTTATATATTATAGAGGGGATAGCAGCTGCTAGAAGTCTCTTTTACTTGCCCAATTGTGATTGTATTCGATTTGGCAAAAATGGTAACTGTAAAAGGCAATTAAATACAAGTAATGGTAGGGTGTAAAAATAAACAAATCTGAGATCTTGACTTTAAAATTGTGTGCTGAGAAGGATAAAAATTGGTAAAAAAAAAAAAAAAATCAGAATACCCATCTTTACTAATTACTGCTGCCCCATTGTGAAGCCTTATCCTTTTATTATGATTTTGGTACCCTCAATTTCCATGTTTGAATTTTGTGACATGCTTTGAATGTTATATTTTTACATAAAATATTTTCCCTTTAAATGTAGTTAAGTTTATTATCATTTAATTTTCTTTAAATATTCAGCTCTTTCTGCGGTGCATGCAATTTACTGTTACCTGTTCTGATTTTTCTTACATTTTACATTATATCTGTCACTTGCTAAAAGTGTTTAGCCGGTGTCCCCAAGTTGACTCTAAAATAATATATGAGCCATTAGCAAGTGTTAGCACCTTGAGGATAATAGACGTGTAGCTCCTCTTCATGTAGCAGACACACGAAAACGCCTCCTGGCTGATTGTCATGCCGATTTGGGGGCAGAAACTCAAACAAGTACCTATTTGATAATTTATCTGCTGGTCTGAAGAAAATTCTTAAAGATTATTAGTTCTCCCAAACTTTTGTAATTGGTAATATTAAAATGTGAAAACAATATTTTAATTGTTTATACTTTTCTTATGATTTCTTTCTTTTTTTGGAAAATTCAAGAATTTTTTTCTATGTATGCATTATTTTCCTCCCCTCAAGTTGCTTTTAGATTATAAAGCTAACTGTTGCAGAATGTTTGAGGGCAGGGGAAATAACCCATTGTTACTCACACATATTTCCACTATCCTAATACAAATGCTATTTTCCTTTCATTTATTTTCTTGCATTTTTTAATAAAACAAATACAGCTGTGCTAACTATGTTCCCACATTGTGGTAACTGTGGTGTAGAAGTTAAGTGTATGGGCTCTGGAAGCAGAATGTTCCTGCGCCTGCTTCTCTTCCTAGCTCTAAGTTCTTGGAGCAAGTTACATGAACTTTCTGTGGCTCAGATACCTCTTTTGTAGTGTGAGAATAGAGTGCTAACTTCATAGGATTGTTTTATAGACTAAATGAGGCCATGTGCATCAAGTGATGAACTTCCAAGAATTGATAGCCTTCATTACATATAATTGTTTCTCCCATATTCAAGACTGTTTCCTTAAGTTAGATTACAAAAAGAAGCATTCCTCTGTCGAACGGTATGGCTATCTTTATACTTCTGATGTATACTGCCAAATTACTTTCCTAAATGATTATAGGAGATTAATGACGCAACCAGCATGTGTGAAAGTGTAAGGCCCTCAGCATCTCATCAGCTTTGAATGTTACCCTCCAAAATTATATTTGTTTATTGAGCAAGTGTATATATTGCCTTGTTGTTTTAATTGGTATTTCTTTTTTTTTTTTTGTCCTTTTTGAGACCGGCAGCACCGCGCTCAGCCAGTGAGCGCTGTGAGCGCACCGGTCATCCCTATATAGGATCCGAACCTGCGGCGGGAGCGCTGCTGCGCTCCCCGCGCCGCACCCTCCCGAGTGCACCACGGGCTCGGCCCTTAATTGGTATTTCTTAAGTTTCTTTTAGAGTTGTTGTTCCTCTTTTTTGAGTTGTCTGTTTACGTGCTTTCTCATTCACTTGCTGAGGCCTTGGTTGTTTTTACTTACTAGTTTGTGTGGACTGTTAATAAAATATTATGCATTTAATGAAAGTATTTTTCACCAGCGGCCTTTTGTGTGTGTGTGGGGGGGAGGGGGCATTGGTGGGTGGGATGTTTATGATATTTATTTTATTTCATAAACGTTTAAAATTTTTATGTTGTCTAATGTCAATTTTTACCCTATCAGACTTTATCTAAGATTAGTCATTTCTTCCAGAGCTATGGTGTGTATTTGATTCCATTTTCTTTTGGTATTTCTAGATTGTTATTTTATAGAGTGTGAACTTTGGATCACCTAAATGCAGACTTCTGGGCACCACCCCTGATATACTGGACTAGAA